TTATTTTCTAGTGTATTTTGTGTGTGTTTGTGTGTGCATGGATGAAAAAAAAAACGATTACCGAATTCATACCACACTAATCTATTCTGTGTCGAGTTCAGTGAAACTATAGGTGAGTGTCCAACGCTCAGCTATTTAAATCCTGTCTCGCTTTTTCCTTTAGTTTCCAGTGTTTTTGATAATGATTTTTTGTTTGTTTCTACTTTGTGCTATCATAAAAATGTTGATGGTTTTTCAACACTAACCGAAGCTTTTTTATTTTTATATTTGATCTATTTCTTTTTTTTATTACATAATAACAAATAAAAAAAACTTTTAATATTGATTTGACTGTAATGTAATTTGAAATCAGAAATGTTGTAAATTCTACAAAATTTTTGGAGTTAAATCGAATGCTATAGGAAAAAAATCTACATTTTTAAAATTATTAAATATAAATACAAAACGTTTTTCTTATAAATGTGCATTGTCTTTGAAACTCACAACAGTTGCAGTGTACTGTTGCGTAATCGGGAATTTTACCACTGTGCAGTGGTTTTTATAATGATTTTTTATAAACTTATAAAATTCAATCCACATAATGTCCTCATACATTATTTATAATATTATGCATGAATTATATGGAACTATTGAATTACGTGATAAAAATGTTACGGGTCCCACTTCACTTGATCTACTCCAAATACAATCGAAAAACTAGTAAATAATTAGCAAATTGGTTTTCTAACGATTTTTTTAAACGTAATGTTAAATATTTTAATTAAAACCTGTTCATTTAACACACCCTCTATGTCTGATAAACTCATTCATTTATTCATACAACATACTTCTTGCCATAAAAATATTTATTGTAAAAGAAAAAATTCACTAAATATAAATCGGTACTATCATAATGCATATTATACTTTTTTTTAAAAATGCACTGAAAATGTTTTGTTACAATGCACCATTTACAGATGTAAAATTATGTATGATTGGCAAGTGAACTTAAATATATATTTTCGATGGGTCAATATCGACGTATGATAAAAGAGGTCAAATTAAGAGAACTGATGAGCTTTGAGCAGAATTTCAAATATCTCCACCAATAATAAATCTTTGATTATTAACACTTGTGGAAGCCCAAAATAGTGAAATCGGCTCCAAAGCAGTATAAATATTTTTAAAATAATTTGCAATATTGACTTGTACACTCATCAGCAACTCCGGTTCAAATTCTCTGAAGGCCAAGATGCAACTATTAGTATTGGAGCTTATTAAAAAAAGTTATTATTTATAAGTCATTTGATGCATTAGTTGTACATTTTTCTGGAATTTTTAAGATGGGTTTAATAGAGAAAACCTTAAACTTGATAGGTTCCTTATGAATCATGTGCTCCTTAAACTGAGTTATATGTAGGAACACAACTGAGTCCATAACAGTTTTAAAATAAACGGTTTCTATTAATTCTTAAAATACTTTTTTTCTTGACCATTATTCAATATAACATATAAAAATAAGTCCATCTAATGACGTACCCAGTTGATATCAATTAATTATTTTGTTAGACCCGTCAGAAGTTATATTAATTTAGGTGACACTATAATTTTATTTATTTCTCCTATTAAGTATTACATATTGCAACAAAACATTTTCTTTTAAAATTCTTTACCTTGTTTTTATCCTTTGAATGTTCTCCATGTTATGTATCACAAGTTATTCGTTTATTGTTTATAATTGTAATACGAACGTTTCGTTTTCTTTGAAGGGACAATAAACGGAAAGGTGAGACAAAAAAATAAGTCTCCGATCAAAAAATACATTTCCCATCGACAACCATCATTAGACGATAATGACCGTATTCGTATCATATTATTTGTCGAACAATGAATTCCGCTGGGACCAATATTCTCTTGTATAACATTGGACGAAGCTTTCAAAAAATGTTCAGACAAAATACGATATCTTGTTTTCCTCGATCAAGCGTAAATGATGTCCAATTAAAGTTTGTATAGATAGAAAAATACAATTTGTTTCAATTGTGTTTGGCAATGTTCGGTTTAACTCTAATGGAACCTAACGATAATTATTGTCAGTTCTTAAACTCGTTTCGTTCTAAAATGACACAGTTTTTGTGGCCAATAAGTGTACGATTAATCAATTACATCAGTGATTTATATTTTCTATAAAATAAACTTTTTGCAAGAAAAAATTTTCTTTCGTATTCAACATCGTAAAAAACGAATAAAATAATATATATATTATGTTATATTCTATGGGTATTCAACCATTCTATTATTTATTTTATATACCTACTCAACAAGTTGTGTGTACTTAAATGTTTTTAGAAGAATTTAATGTCATAAAATGCAGAATAAAACCATTGTGTTACATTATTATTTTATGATAAATTATATAGAGTGATTCCCCAAACATGGTCATCTCTTTTTTTCTTAAATAATGCAGTTATTCAAAATCTGATTTTCGGGATTTTTGAATACACTTCGACTTTATTTTCAAATTATTGAAATTGTTTGTTGTAAGTACTTAAAGAGTGTCCTGTGGAGATACGAACATATATTTTTTAAATGAGAACCAACATTTTCTTCTGTAAATATTAGTTAGCACTTCATTATTTTTTAACATTTTCACGTATCAGAACAAAATCCGTACGAATAGTTTTTGTGTTTACCATTGTAAACTAAGGGTAATATTATGTCCATGATAATAGTCTTGGAAGATATGGGGACTTTAATCGATATTTTAACATTTTAGTTATTAATATTAAAATCAATATTATCTATTTGTAAAAATGGTCTAAGTAAGTAACAAATATTACATCTAATATTACATCTATTTTGTATTTTTGTAAAATCATTTTTTAAGAACTATAATCTTTAATAAAAAATTTTAATAACTGGAAAATTTCTCTTCGAATTTTGAATTAGACACTTTTATAGGAATTTAAAAAAATTATTCTCTACATAGGTAGTTAATAGTAAGAAAAGAGATAGAGGGGGGGGGGGTGGTCCTAATATGAAAAACAGGAGTTTGTATCATCATCAAAGGCACTCTCAAGGTAGCACAAAAAATGTGAACATAAACATTTCAGCAAATTCAAATATTCAAAAAATCAGATTTTGAATAAATTCATTATTCAAGCAAAGAATGGGGGTAAGCATGCTTGGTGAATCACCCAGTATTTTATATTGTATACGCGTGGATTACATGTGGGTCGAAAAAATATTTTATGAATTCGTATATTATAACACAATTTGAATTAAAAAATTCTTAAGAACGACTTTATATTATGAATATTTGACTACATAGTCAATACAGTTAGTACATACCAATACAATATAGAGTATAAAGGGGTGTAAGTATACCAGGAGAACTGGACAATTTCTCAACTAAATTGTTATTGAAACAATTGTACTCCTACGTTTAAAACGTGTTAAGAATAAAAATTGTTTTACATTTTTTTTGTAAACATAATATGTTATAGATTTGAAGTGCATTGTACTTGAAAATATAAAAACCTTAAACCTAAATACTATTAAAATATATAGCACTTGCGCAAGGATTGGAAAACCACTTTACTAACGCTTAAGCTGTATTCATGAAACTCACTGGTTAGTGGTGTCCTCCTCTTTACCGTGTATTATACGAGTATTTATTTTATATTTTTTATTTTATACGTGAATTTAATTCTTCAAACTTGACATGTGTCATAGATCAATTGGGAATATATATATACATGTATTATATTTTTTATTTCGTTAAGAAACAGACTTACACATATAAAAACAATAATAGTAATGGAATAAAAAAAATAACGATTACATTTGATATTATTCTCAAAATAATAAAATATATAAATGTACCTAAACATTATTTCTTTTATTATTTACTTCCCAAAAATGTCGACGTTTAATTTGAGGTATTGTGATGTTATTCTGACAGTAAAACTACAAACTACTTGGTTTTGTGTTTTTCAATAAACTTACCATTCGCGTATGTATTAAATTCCATAACAATAGAAATAATTCACTAAAATGCTTTGACAATATTATTATATCAAGCATTTTCTAATAGGAACCAAATAATTATAACTTAAAGTTTGTTGACTCTTAAAGTTCCAAAATGATATAAATGAAAAATATGTACAATTTATTGCTTTAAAATAGTTATAAAGTAAGAATCTCAGTTATGTACTCATTTTTTATTATTTCATCATTTTCAAAACTTTTTTTAATGTACTAACTGGGCTCAATTTTCAGTAAATTCATCGAGAAACCACGGTGATCATATTTAAATCTGCAGACATGAATATAATTTTGTAATTACTAAATTCCATAAATATTCCGATGACCATTATTTAAAAAAATAATATAGTGTGATGAAATTTGATTATGATTGTTATATAATAATAATTATATTATTGTACATAGGTACTCATAATATTATCTTACTTTACTTCTTACATAATTTGATTTGAAAAACAAACGAAAAAACGATACCAAAAATCCTATAGAACAATAATTCAATAATATTAAATAAATAATAAAAATTATTTTAACATGGATATGTTTTTTTCTTTATACATAGGATTTTAAGGTAAAGTATTTACATAGTTTTTAGAAATTGTTCATTGGAACTGATGGTATAATATACGTTGTAGTGGTATATCTTTTGATGATCTGAATAATCATTATGGAACCCATTGTTTACTCAAAATATAATCATTTGTGGTTCATTTGACACGCAAAAAATGGATTACTTTTAAATTGTTCATGTTCAAAGTAATTTTGATACGGCACAAAGGAGATATTCTAAACAATTTATACAGTGATTAAAAATATAACACGATTTTATTAAACTAAACTATATTATTATTTTAACTTAATTTCGGGTTCAATATAACATTTATAAAATATGTTGTTGAGTTTTAAACAATTACTTTGATATTTTGATTTAATGTCAAAATCAATTTAATTCAAAATCATATTTCAATACTTACTCTTTTTCAATTTTCAATGAATTCCTGGATCTAAAAAAAAAAAATGAAATAATTAATAATTTGTAGTTAAAAACACGATAACCATCAGTTGAAGTTATATTTGGATATTTCTTACTCATTTCTACACTTGTTTACACATACAATGGATTCGTGTTGTGTTAATAATACAATGAATTTACACCGTGTTAAGCAATGCTAAATTTAACTGTAATTATAGTAGAATAAAATTCACACAGTTATTAATATAGTCTTGATAAATAAAAAAGTTTGCTATTTGTACACATAAATGTTTTTCGCTCTTCTTGGAATTTATTCGTTTGATAATAATATAAATATATTGTTAGAATCGATTTTCTTTATTATGTTTTGATGTAGTTAAAAGTTAAGCAATAAAGTTGATTCGTTCGTTCAAAGAGCGAAAGGTAAGTGTTTATGTTTTGAATTTCAAAAACTTTCTCATAAAGTTATGGACGGAGTAAACAATATATCATTCTCTCATACGTTATTAAACTGTAAGGTAGATTGTTTTAGACCAATGACGTAGGAGTTTGTTTTTCTTGACATTATAATACTCTTGTCAGTTACAAACCATATCTATAAAATGTATATTTGTATTATTCTCTATCGAAACTTACCATAGTATCATAGCACTACGTTAAGTATCTATGTTTAGTGATCGAAAAAAGTAAGTTATTTATTTAAACTATTCCAATATATTTTTTTTTCCAAAATTCAAATTATGAGAAATCACACAAAAACGCTACGTACATTGAATATCTTATATTTTTTAAACAAAATTGAAAAAACACAATAATTTACATGTATAATTATATATTTGTTGTGATTTTATAAAATATATTTTTTTTAAATATTGGTAAATAAAAAGTTTAATTAAGACAACCCATAACTATTAAATAGTGCGTATAACTCTACAAGGTAAATCTATGAGTCATAAATAGTTTTTGGTTGTATGTTATAGCAAAACTCCGTCAAAAAAACAAGAAACGTGTATCCGGACCAAAAAAATAATTACAGTAACTTATAAGGAATCTTGTACTAAATTGCTTAAATATTAGCTATTAAAAATAATGTATACATTTTTGTGATTTTGACCTTTTCAACATTTTAACTTAACACACTTATGAAAAATATAATTACTGTAATGGTGAGGAACACCATTACAATTTTCGTATTTTTAAAATCATAATATTACGTATAGTATTTCATACTATACATATATCACTGACGTGCCTTTCATATTTCATTCATTCTGTAATATCACAGAGCCCAGCCATATATACTATATAGGTATAACTATTTTGACTAGTAAACAAAATTTATAATAATAATAGTTTGGCCTTCTAGACATACGTCTGCCGAACTAGTCTTGTTTGATCACTTGCTCCGTGTATTGTTGCTGCCAGGTCATCGGTAAAGTAGAATAATTTATATGACATTTTGTTTTATTTTAAATATACGTTAAACTGCACTCGGTACAACTATCTGTCTTGTCTAACATCTAAATTTTCTCTCATTTCTCAGTTTGGTATAGATCTCTCATTACGGATACACAATTGCACACCGTATACCAGCAGTGATAGACAACAATTTAATTGTTACCACGTAACACTAATTTTCATATTTTGTACGGTTTTTGGATTTAAAATAAATGCCAGCATTCAAATAATAGATCTTAGAATAGAATACCCGGTTAATAAAAGCAAAATTTAATTCGTTACAAAATAAATGCTGTTTTGTTACACACAGGTTTGATTATTTTTTGGTTTCTTAAAAAAATGCAAGAACTTACTAAATTTAAATCAATAACCTATTTAAGGTACCATTATTGAGTTAAATTTGAAAACTATATTAAGATTCTTAAAACTAAATATATGAACTTATCATTGTCAAACTAATAGCTCTCTTTTCCCAGAAGTCAGAACCTATGTGTATATTTTATACTCACTATATATTGATACGTTTATACAAAGGTAAAGTAATGGAACTCTTCCTGACCTTTTTTTGTAATAAATTTGTATGGGAAGCCATATTATAGAAACGATACTCAAGACTCTATTGTCGAAAGACCTAGTTATACGATTTTTTTTATCCAAAAAATATTATTATATTAATTACATTAATTAAAACCTCGTTAAGGCGTGTCATGTCGAAAAACAAAATCGAAAAATTGAAAATAATTATCACCGTTAGTGTGAGAAAAAAAATAAACATACTTTTTCACATGAGTAATAATAAACAATAATTTGTCTGCACTTTTTTACTACACAGGCGTTTAGTTACAAATGTGTGTTGTTTTTTTGTACACCTATATGTATTTAATTTTGATCCAATTTGTGAAATATGATTTTACTTGGTGTTTTATATTTTAACTTCATTTATAATAAACAGGGCGTTAATTATTGATTGGTACAATGAATAAATTCGTCATTAATTATTTATGTTTTGTCTATTTTTTATAATAATCTCCAAGCGGCAACGACTGTGTGTAATATATTATATTATTTAATCTGTGAATACTAATATTTTAGATTTTGTACCTTGAGGTATACCAGATAACTGACTACAAAATGTATACAACTAAATGTCATTGGCCCTAATAAATTTATTTGTAGGATAGGTAGTTAAAAAAAAAAAAAAAATACATAATAAATATAAAACCCAAAACGAGCAAAAAATGTCCCGGAGGGTTGATATTTATCTGCAAACCTTATCCAGAATTATGTGAGAAAACGTTTTCCCTTCTTCTTCGTTATACGATACCTATTCATTTGATGTCCATACGAGATTTACGACCTTACTTCCCCGTTAATTTCAGCTGAGTGCGTATGTGTGCCGTCGATACGATCCAAAACTGGGATGTGTTATCAAGGATAATATTATCCTTGAAAGTTTTATATACATAACGTAACAAGTAATAACCATAATAATATCAGCCGTGTTTCTCATAATTTTTATGTACATTTTTTTATGTATAAATTCTGATATGACGTAACTACAAGGATGAAGGGAAAATATCGTAAAAACAAAAAACACATCTGTATCTGAATTTATTACACCGATCTCGAAGAGTCTTCAACGACACACACTGAAAATATGGACCCTAGTAATACAATAATAATAATACAGAGGCTATACGTGTACAATACAACAGTCCACTTCTATTTTTTTTATCGTGTTATGAGATTATAAAATAATATAACTTTATCATCTTTTATTTTTCGTGGGCTTAAGAACTTAGAACATTGTAAAATAATGAAGAAATAAATATACATATCAATGACGACTGCCGAGATAAAGCCTTAACAAGTAATAAATGAAGTTAAAATCGTTTATATATTATTTGTTTTTTAAATTTATTTTATGTACTCAACATTTATTGACACATCTTATAAAAATAAATAGGTACATTTGTTTAAGCAAATACGATATTCATTATTCATTTAAATTGAACTTAAAAAATGGCGTTATTTAGTGTAAGTAAATTCGAGTCTTATATATACGTGTATAATATTTTACATTATAACTTTAAATAATAATATTATGAAGCATTAAAATGTGTTAAAATTATTATAAATAGTCAATATAAAAAAATATTAATGTTAATAAAATAGTAAATATATTTGTAACATGTAATGATAACAGTTTAATAAACCTTTATAGCTTAAATTACTTTTTTTTTGTAAAAAATTATGTGTTTATGTGTCGTTTTTTAAATTACAGTGTAACTTTTATCAATAAACGTTGGCGGCGTCGCGCAAGCAATGTGAAAGCAGTTCCCGCGGCGTCGTCGGTTAAATACTGGAAAAAAAAATTACATTGTAACTACAATGTATGAAGTATGAACACTCTAATAGCCTAAATTATTATTAACACCATTATTATTATTATTATTATTTCATAAATAGAAAATTTTGAATGGGATGTTAATAGTTGAACAATTAAAAATAATGAAATTATTATTCTCAGTAATGATTCATTATGCAAAATGTTTTGAAACTTTTATTGGAGTAATTTAATTCATTTTATTTTTGTTAAGAAAAAGTTTTTGATAAAAATATAAACTCCAAGTACTTGAATATTGCTGTATAGTAAATGTTTTGAGTGTACGTCATAATTGATTAAGGTGTCTTCAATGTATTGTATATTAATAACAGTATATAATAATATATAATATGTAAATGTATAATATATATATAGTTATTTAACAACTATTAACGTTAGTTATGTATTATGTATGTTCAACAATACATCGGAAGAGCAAACAAAGGAATGCATATAATATAGTACATACGAATCTTGAGGTCATTAATAAAAGAGTCCAAAATTACAATCAAAAAAATATATTGAAAATTGTATCACTGCCAATATATTATTGAATTACGCATTCATTGTAAATGTAGAATTTCGAAATTTATGAATTATTTATTTTTGGAATCAGGATGAAATAACCGAATAAATAGACAAAATGGTAACACAATTTTACGACATTTTTTTCTTACGAATTTTTGTCTTAAGAGCCAAAAAAAAAAAATGGAAAAACAACTTTTCAAAAGTACCAATAAATTACATTTTCTTCTGGAAATTCAGTAATATTAGTTCACTTGTACAAGTCTTCTGGATCAAGTCTTCTAGTCGAGGAGTTGTTCACAGGAAAAATAAAATAATAAACATCGTTGTAGAACTACTATAGAATAAAAAAAGAAAACATTTAACTTGGTCAATGTATTTAATGCATTTTTGTGTACTCAGATAAAATGTATTTAGACTAGGTACTGATGATTTTATCTTGTTTTATAGTGACATGTTACATGATATGAAATAAAATATCGGTAATCTATAGGTAGATATATCATCAAATATATATTGTTCGTTTTCATCATTATAAGTGCTTTTATATTAAAAAAATAAATATAACCATTCAATTTGTACAGATGAAAGCACAAAAAATAAATAAAATAATCAACGGTTTAAATTAGAAAGCCATCTTTCGTGATGGTTAACATTAAGAA